AGTCACTACTGAAAGTGGAGGTGTGAGAACAGACGTTTTAAGCAGCTTTAAGTAGAAATGCTGGTTTTGTTCATTCCTGAATGTAGGAACTTAACTTCATTTTATTTATTGAAGTTGCTTTACTTACCTAGGTTGGGTATCGCAGGGATGCGCTTTTAATGAGAGCAGGCACTGATTTGGCCTGGACACTGGTAACTGTCGATCCCCAAACAAGTGTTTTGCTGAGAGCATGCCCGTTCTAGTTACATCGCAACTTGAGAGATGTATCTGACTGGAGAAACACGTTAGATGTTATGAAGTTGATGGCCTCCAGTAAGGTCATTCTGATTATATTTTTAAAATATTTTAATTCTAGTTTGGGCAGGGGATTGTCCAGTAATCATAGATGTGTGCTGTGAGCAAAACTACTGCCACCTTTGGAAACTTAGTAATTACTACAGTTGTTCAGAAAAGACTCCTTGGGCTTTTAATCTGAACTTACTTTTAGCTATCACACAGCACTTAATATAATTCCTCCCCCAAAAATACTTGAATAGGTCTTCGTATGCTCCTTAAACCTCGTGTGATGGAGGCAACGCTTGTATGCCAATTAGTCCATCGTGGGGCTCAATTTTAGACTTGTTTTGCACTTGGATCGTTTGTATTTGCTCTTTGAAAGCTCTGGTTTACTGACAAGTAGTCCAAAGAAGGATTAGATGCTGTATCCTGGTAGAGCAGTTCCAATAAATGCAGATACAGAAGTAGCCATCCTATCATTGCTTCCTGACATGCAGCAATGTCTTTTGCCAGTGAAGGTCGGCACTTGGGAAAAATCCGGTTTGGTGATAGTCCTGTTTCTCTGGCCTCTTCCTCCCTACAGTGAAAGCAGCATTTGTTTCTGGTGGTTTGTTTTCTGAGCCATTTAACAACTACATTAACAATTTTGAACTCGCTTATGTGTAAGGAATCCATGTTTACTCTATTGTCAGCTATTCCAACTACTTCCTGAGGAAGTTTTCCATCTCTGAGTTTCATATTCATCCCCCTTACATACGTGAGCTCAGACTGATCATGCCGGAACAATTTTCCAGTAATCCCGATGGTTCCAAATCAGCAAGCTTGCTACATTATTTACTTCTATGAATGTTCTTAGTAAACTTTATTTCCAGATAAAATATTGAATAGCGTGGTGCCAAGAACTAATTCCCATGGGATTCAATTAGAAATATATCTGACAGATTCCTTGTGGATGACACAGATCTGTAACTTCAGTTTTAATTTACTTACTGTGAACTGTATGTGCACAGCTATGCCGGTTTCTCGGTGTCCTACTGAAGAAGTCAACATACAAACATGTTAGAACAACACTTCCTATTGTCTACCAAATACATGCTCTAATTGCATAAGGGAAAAAAGTCGATCTGAAAAGATACATTTTTCCATACATTCAAGCTGTATAATTTAAGTAAAATTCCCTCATTTATTTCTTGTTCCTATATCAAGAAGTCAGTATTTTTTGTCTTTCCCTGGGATTAATGCAAGGTTGACAGTCAGTTCCTGAATTTTTTCCTTTCTTACTTTTTTTTTTTTTTTCCCCTAATATTGGGATCACCTCAGCTTTCTCTGAATTTTTTTTTTTTTCTTTTTCCTGGGCTTCCCCAGGTTTCTCAAAGCTTACAGAAAATCTACATTAACAGCACAGAATTCTCCTTTGGCAGCTCAGCTGCTGATTTAACAACTGCCTTACTTCTGTTCCTATGTTTAAGGCTTTCCTTAGCTATTGTTAGAATTTAGTGAGATAAATATGCTACTTTTTCTCCACAAATGTAGAACAGAAACTTAGCTGAACGTCCTGGTTTCTCTGAAATACACTATTAAAAAAAAAAAAAACCAAACCCAAACTCCTTCATGCTATTCACGTGGGTAAATATCCATTATCAATAAAACTTCTTGCTTACCTTCTGAATATTCTGTCATTCTTGGCTTCTGATTCATATTTTATATTATGCCTGGTTTTCCTTCGGTTACATATTGGTTTTAATGTAGGGTTTTCTTCCCGGCTAACATTAACTCCAGTTTAGTTATGAGGTTTTGGGTTTGTACATATAAATACACTGTTGGCATATGCTTTTTAGATTAATCTTCCAGGAGTGTTCTCCTCATGTCATGTAATTAAGCAGGTAAATTATTAAGAAGTAAGGTATGCTTTTAACATGACTTAGTAGTCTGTAGCAGAAACAATATAATATCTAGTTTCATGATTTATCACTCAGAATATTGTTACATGTGCATTCATGACACTTTCTGACTTTGTTTTTTATGGATTACTGGGGAGGGGTTTCTCCCTTCCTTTGACCAGTTTGTCCTTCAGAAATGGTCTTCAGTAATTAATGATCTGAATATTTTGTTATCCATGTATTTTTCTACTAGCTTATAGTAAAACCAGTTAGATTCAATTTATGCTTCCAAATTAGTAATTCAGTTCCTATTAATTAAATATGTATGTGTAGGAGTTAGGTTCTTGCCAGGTTTTGGTCCTTTACTTAATTTTAGCCTGAACATCTTTACTTTGTGCTAAATGAATGGTCACGTGGTTCTTTAGCTCGTTAATGCCATTGCATTTAATCTTGCTAAGTTTTGCCTGGGAAGATTCCCCCCACCCCACCCCATGACAGGCTAAATTATGCCATTTTTTTATCCAGAAAAGATGGTCCAATATTCTACAAATCTAAATCTTTTTATTTTAGATGTCAATTCACCTTCTGTCTTCCTTTGTTCACGTGACAAAAGGATCTTCGAGGAGATCTCCTAGACGTTCTTGTTGTGCTACGGGGGTCATCATTTAAGATTAGATCCTGGTAGAGTCTGCCTGTGTGTCTGAAGAGTTAACTGAATGAGCAGATGTGCCTCTGTCACTCAGCACCTTCCAAAGTATTGGAGTAACTTCTTGAAATGGAGGCTTTGCTTCCTTAAATCTGCTTTGTCATTTTTTATAGTGATTATTTGGCATGGGCAGCTCCCTGGAAGCTACTTGGGTTATGCCAGCCTAATGCCTCCACTCTTTACGTTCAGTGGTGATTAACATAGTGCAAAAATATATTCCTATTTACTTGGAAAATTACTTCCTTCTCCAAGGTCTTTGCAATCTGAATGCACTTTAAAGATTTTGTTTGAACTTCTGATCACAAAATGCCTGTGCAGCAGGATCATCATACTCAAGGCTTCTCAGGAAATCATCAGTAGGTGGTGGAGTATCTAAAGCAGTCAGCAGCAATCCAATGAAAGCTGTTTTCAAGCCTTTTAAGAAAGGCTTTAGCGTCTGCTTGGTCTTAATTGTAGGTATCTGCTGATCCTCTTGTGTTAATTTGAAGTTACTCAGTTGTATCATGTCTCAGAACTCTCCTCCAAGTTCTTTACTCAGCAGTTAGGTAGTACCTGTTCATATCTCTTTGTCCTCTATAGATTTTGAACATCTGTATTTACTGTGTCTACAGCTGTGTCAGCTGTTGAAACTTCCAGAAAGCCCACTGGAACTGAAAATACCCCTTTTTTAAAGATGAATTTGTGTAGTTGGGTAGTTGCTAACTGGCAACTAATGTTCTCGGCAGGTAGCAGACAGACAGAGCACACAGTGCATGAACACTGGTTTGCAGCTGGAGTTCTCATATTGCACCTAGCCTGTCCATTTTACATTGTTTAAATTTTCATGCCAATTCTGGCATAAAGATCACCATTTAAAAATGCAAGCCCCCTCCAAATACTAAGCTCTCTTTACCTTAAAATTTTTTTATGTAACTATGGAAAACATGAACTAGATCCATGACTCAGAAAAAGAGCGGTTTTTTTTTTTACTGTTGACAAATGTTGCCATGAATATCGATCATTGAGAGATTTTTTTCAAGTAAGAAGCATGAGCTTCATAATTATTATTGCAAGCTCTTTCCTCCTAAACCTGTATTTTACACCTGACAGATAATACACTTGGCTTCTAATATTGACCTGGTTGGAGCACGACTTCCCTGAAATTTCTCCTGTGTCAGCCTGTGTTGCCTTGTTCCTCTGACACAAATCACAGTAACAAAAAATACTTAACTGCTAATACGCTACAGCACTTCTAGTGACACCGAATCTGTGGTACATCATTGCAACATGTCCTTGAACACTCGGGATTGAAATGGGATTGTACATCTGGGCTGCTTTCAGGAGGATATTATTTGAATTTGTCCTGCCCCGGTTCAGTTGTAAGCTTTTTTTTCAAATTGATGAGTTATGTCTTCTCTGCTTGCCCGGAAGAATGTTTGCTGCCTCTCCACTCCTTGCTCTGCAGATGCGATGCTTCTGTTAAATTCGTAGTAATGAAACAGCAACTTTTTGCAGAGAATAACTGTGCAACTCTCACAGTCTTGACAACACCGAGGCAGTTTATTGATTAGCAACATGCAATTTGCCAGTAATCAGTGAACTATATACTGTGGATCAGTATTGGCAATACAACAGAAATCACGATACTAGATGGTTACAAAGTGTTAATAAGCACCTACAAATTTCTTACGTACCCTACTACAACTGATTCCACTTAAGTATTCACACAGCTCTGTGCACATCCCCTCTCTTCAAGAAGTGTGGGTTACAAATGCACACTCCCACTTTTGGGAGTGCAGATTTCCCTGTTTCTAAATCCTTCTTGTTGGAGGTGTGGGCACGTGTACCCGTTCAACTAATCCACACGCTGGTGAAAGCGTACCCCAGGAGTTCCCCTGTGTGCTCCCCAGAGCTGGGTCCTCACTGCCGTGCCTCACCCTGTCGGTCCCCCAGCCTGTACCGGGAGTGGGGTGGCAGCCGCTTACCGTGTCCGAGGGGGAGGATGCTGCCCGGCCTTAGAAGTAATGATGCCTGCTGCTCTGGTACTGCTTTCCCACCCCAAGGTTTCTTCCAGCAATCACAAATTCTCATGCTGCTTTTCAAGCTAACTTCTTTTCCCAAAAGGCTCCTGGTAATCTGATCCCCTGGTTACTGTTTAACCTGGGTGATCATTGTCTTAAGCAAACTTTGTTATTGTTACTTTCCTCTTAGCGTTATCAGGTTTTGGGCAAACATCCTCTCAGAACATGCCGATTTGGGTATTCTGTTCGCACGCACTATTTACACTGACATTCCTACCGTATCATCTGTTGTTTTCCAGGCCACATTACCAAGAGGGGGGCACGCAATTCCTGTACAAAAAAATCCCCGGCATCAGTCCAGTGAACGCA